CATTAACTACACGTACATGTACCGTATGTATTGCTCTCACCTGTTTGTTGACAGAATAAAGTTCTATTTCAAAAGATGAGTAATTGGAGAACCACCTTGATGAGAAGGATGAGGAGATATTAAGAGGAACATTGGAATGACATTCAGAAAAACACACACACCACTCTAACACTATTTTGGCCATTTATAACTTGTCCACCAGCAAGGGCATTCAAACATTTTAAAACAAATGGTGTAATTTTATCCAATAAACAAATCCACAGCAATCACATTTCTACTGCTCCAAGTAGCTTCATTTGTACAGTAGCCGTGTGTAATTTTCATTTACATGTAGTTACTATTAACATTAGCCAGACTGCACCCTGTACTTACACCAACAAAGTCAGAATATTGTATTACAATGACTGTCTCGCTAATATAAGATATACATGTACATGTATCTGCAGTTTCGTTATTAGCTCAGTTATTGTTTTTACTGTACCGTTCCATAGGCACATGTAGATTTGCCGGGAACATTCTTTGATTAATCAACCCATATCCGCAATGTACATGTAACTATTTAAAGTCATAAATTCTGCATCAAGATCCATGTAAAAAGCTGGGTTCTACCTTCCCAAATCCAGGCAATCCTCCCTAACTCCTGGGTGGATTTCAAAGGATGATGCAGGATATGGGTTAATGTCTCCTGTTTGATTGATAGGGCACTTTAATTCAGGTACCAAAATATTTTGGGGAAAACATTTTGTTTTGATACTTGGCAAAACATAATACAAAAGTCACTTCTTATGTTCCAATAGCATAACACAGAGGGATTTACACTTGTGGTAATTGATGAAACCATCTAAGCCTCCTAGTCCAACAGAACTTCACCTCTGCTGAAGAATCAAGCCCAATCCTTATGAGGGAGACAGCACAGTATGTTGCCCTATGATAGATGTTGTGCATTTGTTCACCGCGTCAAGTTAGCAGAGTGGCTGGAATTCCCAGACAGTATGTCATGATGTTTCACGTTGATCAAGTTTCCATTAACAGAATTTTTAGTGTAGAACTTGTTGATGACTACATGTCTGAATGCCAGCTACATCTAACAAGGACAGAATGACTTACAGCCAGCCATTCAATGTAATCAACAATTCTTAACAAATGAGGAAAATGTCTCCACAGGTAATACTGACTGTGAATCCCATCTGAACTAATGAATGAATTTAAATTAAAAAGTCTAGGAAAAAAAGGATTGAAAAATTAGAATCCTTAAAAAAGGTTTAGTACAACCAACATGAATATGTGTAATTGTAAACACTAAATAAAAACACAGAAACTTACATGTACGTGCAAAGAACCTCAAAAAAGTAAAACCTTTGCCCTTTATGTGCATAAATGAAGATACATCAAATACATGTGGACATATTTTGTGGTAGGGGCAGCATTTAGACTACACATAACAACTTAAGAAGTGTTCTTTTTTTTTCTTCAGTTTTGTGATACATTATTTGTAACTCTACAATAAACAATTGGAATTCTGCCATTTCACAAAGCAAATTGCACTCCTTGGTTCAGAAAGGCCACCCACAATACTTAGCTTTCACAAATAGATATGCACATAGCCTAACCTTAGCTTTGTGTTTTAGATATATATTTCCTGTTGGGTTGACAGAGGCTGTGACCCTCAATTTTGTGACGTGTGTGCATGTTTGTGTGACCATGGAGAGATACGCTAGCCTGACAAAATCATGTGCCACTGTTCAATCAGTACTGAGACCAAATAAAACTTCTCTTGAAAAGGACAAGAACTTAACTCTCAGGTTTGAGTACATGAAATTTTTCTGCAACTTGTTACAGTTAACAATCACTTACAATGCCAAAAAGAGATATATGGAAAACATATGAAACAAATGAAAGACATTAATGCTGTTTTCTGTGTTTATATTTCAAAATATTCTTTTTCCACCCTACATTCACTTACAAATTTGTTCCATAAAAAAATGTTTTTAGGGAAATGGGAACATAGTGGAGGTTGTCAACCATTTTGTGCCTCCCCCACAAAACAATAACAGCCGCTAAATTGATCAATGAAAAATAAGGAGAGAGCTTAGTGTTTACACACAGTCCTTGATGGCTTAACATCTACGCCAAATGGTGAACTTCTGTTAAACCCAAACCCACATCCTACTCCAACGCTTCCATGGTTATACATACTTCCACCTCCAGGTTTGCCGGTGTAGGAAGGTTAGTAGCATCCTCTATTTGTCATCAAATAAACCAGACGGGGAAGTCTTCCCTACTCATCCAGACGATTGTATCTTTAATGCCGTGACACAGTCAAAAGGATACACACCAGCATTACTTTTTGGCAAACTTGAAACACAATTGACATTGCTTTCAACAGAATGTTCCACTTCAGTTTTTACAGCATGTAGTCTCAAGGTCGTGTACTGTAATGTACACCTACACACTATAATAATTAAAATACACTGTAGGCCTATGTGCATCGTAACCTTGAATGTTATTCCAACCCTGACAACAGGCACAGAACCAACTTCCTGATGTTTCTTGTTCAAGGGTGTTCTGCCACTGCCCACTTATTTATTTTTCATGGGCTCGGGTTTGTGACTTTGGACTTATGATAGGAACTCACAGTAGTATACCAGGATATTGATATTAGACCAAGTTTGTGGGCCACAGGATGGCAGGACTGAATTTCTCTGTCAGAACACTGCCCAAGTAAGTGATATCATACCAGCCAAACTTGGTAACTGATCATCATGTAGAACAGCAGGCTTCAGGGTGAAACAAAACCAAGGACACCCCAAGGGGTATAAGATCAAGTTTATTTCCACAAAAAGGGGCGAGTGAAAGATCGTCCAATACAACAAATACAGTCATGGGCATGTACGTGTACAGTAGTCCACAATTCTTTTTAAAAAATTCCTTGAGGTACCAGTATGGTGAGTAGACAGAGTGGAAAATGTGTGTTTTGTTTATGTGGACCAAAAAAAGGATGCTTGAAAATGCTAAAATTGTAACTGTTAGGAAAACCGTACAAGAAAAAAAAGGATCTTTTTTATTTGTCAATGTAGAAACAGCCAGTCACATCATAATATTTAGTTCAAGAAATGTACAAAGGAAATTACAATAAAACACTTCCCCCCCAAAAAAAACAGAGCAGTGACTGACAGTTAAAGTGTGAAAGGCTTTCAATCCATCAACAAGTCTCCCTTTTAAGACTCAACTACAGTGCTGGAAACAAATTAATCAGTGTCTGATGACACCAGGCCAAAATATACAACTTGATTCTGTGGATCAATTCAATTAGTAAGTCCAAAATGTATCATTGCCTGGTTCCTTGGGAATGAATAAGATGATAGTTCCAACATAAAATAAACAAGGTCACTTCTTCATTTGGGTTCACTTCAAACAGTAGCTGTGCCAGTATGTTGGCCCATCTACGGATGACAACTGAGGCTAAAAGCCTATATGTACATAAAAGGATGGTTGACTGACAATCAAACATTCAGAGGTCATTCAGCTAAAAATAAAAGCAAAGAAACCAAAACAAGGAGAAAAAAATTGTGTCATTTCTACCATTTAAAAAGGATCATCCACCTTCACAACTCGAGAATGAGTAACTAGGCTGCCTAAGTGCCCTAAAACAGCCCTTTATTTTATTCCTTATCAATCCCCCTAGTTAATCAAACACCAGTGTTCACCAAACTACACTGTTAGATGGTTGGGCCTAGTCAAAAAGTTATCTTCAAAACTTGGTTGGCCAGCAACCTGTTAAGGGTTGGGTCTCTAGTCATTTTGGTGATTTTGCAAACACTATTAAGTAATAAACTGAACTCTGTACCATTCTGTCTAAACTTAACTTCAAAGCAGTTGTCCACAGCTTATGCAAAGTTAACATTGTAAAGAATAGATGCATGGCAAACTACATGTAGCTAAGGTATTTAGCAACCTGACAGCATTGTTCAGGATCACACCTGAGTGTATGGATGCCATGGCTGGGACTGTTTCTGGAAAGATTTTATTGTTGGGAAGACTTGGACTGAGTCGTAGGGTCTTCTGCACATCCTTGCAACTTTACTGGTCCCAGTAAAATTACGATGTGCGTGTACTGTACAACACATGTGGCCCTCATAACTAACAAACAGTTATGACTGTAGTTGTGTAACATCATACATATCACTTATCAGGTCAGTCAAAAATACAAAATGTACCAGTACATAATGCAACTAATCAAAACACCACAAGGGTCTTTCTCAAACTGGTGTTATTTATGTAAAACACAATACGGTATCCAGAACTTTGACACATCAGATTCAAAGTGAGGGTGACTTTTAAATATTTGAAATTCTTTTCCAAAAGTGTAGCTTCATAGTGTAACAGAATTAAAGATTTTTGGGGCGTCTGGTGTGCTGAAAGCCACTGAATCCTGTGGGCATGCTTTTTGTATTATATTCAGTTGAATGGCCATGAAAATGGCAATGAAGATTACATTTATATCTGTGACCAACAAGAGACCTCCAGTCTGAATTCAGGTCAAAAGCTTTAAGTGAATTGCAACAAAAGAATTCCTTTATCGCTGTGGCTGTTCTCAAGAATGGTCTGGTGTCTCGCCTTGTGATGGCCTTGCCTATAACACTGTACTGGGATTAATGGGCTGGATGTCAACTCTAAATGAAAGATGGTTTATTTGAAAGGACTTGACAGAAAGGGCAAAATGGCTTCTTGTTGAGACACAGAACAACTTGTAAGTGGTGAGTCCACCAACTTACTTCATTTTCAAATTTACGCATTGTTTCTAATTCCTTTTTAACAGTCAACACAGATGCTTCAGCAGGTCTATACTCTCCATCCAGCGTGATGGCAGACAAAAAGGGGAAGACGGGTCACAGTTTTATTATCTCCAAATTCTGAGTGGGTAGTGGACATATGGGAGAGGGCCCTCTGTTTTGCTCTAGTTATTATAAATGACAAACTGTTTAAAAATTACAACTCACCCTCTGCCAGCTTGCGAGTATACTCCTCATTCTCACAGATGTACTCAAGCCCAGCCTTGGAGTTCATGACTGCTTTGATGCAGTTCACCACCTCAATCTGCAGGTAGGCCTGGGCCATGGTCATCCCCCGGCTGGACAGCCGTACCACTGACTCCAGCAGCACGTCCAGGCCGTCCAGCTCCAGGAACCGCTGCAGCCATTCCTTGTCGCTGTTGGCAATGCGCTTCTTCAGGCCGGTATAGTTGTTGAGGGTGGGCAGCCGGAGGAGCCGGATGCAGAGCTCGGGTTCTGCATTCTCAAGGTTGGCCCCAAAGTCCACAAGGTCCTCGTTTGGCCTGTTAGCCTGACTAACTCTCTTGGCAAACTTCTTGAACATTGCGGCGGTTCCCGACTGGAACTTCTTTTTCTGGTTTTGACTTCTTGTTACAGTTTCCACATGACTTCCAAAAATCTGCACTGATATGAAAAATTAATGGATTTTTATATCTTGAGAGTAATTGAGATGTTTGTGGAAGTAATAAATTTTTTCTGAATGGTGTATTTCCATCCTGCTTTGTGCCCCAACTCCAATGTACTGTACCTCAATGTGCATACACAAATTTGCTATTGGCATTTACCTATATGACTACACCAACAACTCTAGATGTACCCACATGGATGACTATATGGCGGGGCAAGCCCCTCCCCCTAAACTGAAAGGGGGGGGAGAGAAAAGAACAAGGGGCAGAGTTAAAATAGCCAGTAAGATTTCAACTTGAACTCCCACAGATGCTGAAAGCCAGTGGTTTATTCCCCATCAACAAATACAAACTGAAAGTAACTGTTTGAATTGGAAATGTAGGCTGTAACTTTGTTGACCCTACAGGGTAATTTGTGAAAAATCAACAGTACACAAAACAGTCCTCCTGCGCAATACAAGTTATTCTTAACGAGGAATCGGAAAGGTCCATGTTGACAAGTGTATTCACAGAGTGCATTGCTATCATGTAATTAACCTACTTTGACAACTTTAGACACTGCAGTCGAGGACGTCTACATTCGAAGTTTTTCTTTTCTGGACAGAAGTAGCATGTACAACCACAGCCAAGCTGAGAAAAGACACGTTTCTGACATCTGTGTAATGAAACATTGCTCTAACCATACTCTAACTTGGTACTATTTCACGTTTTTCACATACCTGAAGAAAATCCAACTGTTCGAACCAACGCGTCAGCTTCGGGTGGCAACGAAGTCTGTAAGAAAAACTACATGTACATGAAAGCGCAGCAAGTACAGTACCGTACATGTATTTTGAAGTCCGACGTGCGTGTAGATGTACGAGTACATTAGGCGTGCAGGTGTTGGTGTACGTGTGTGCACTTTTTTGTGGAACCTTCCATTAAATGTAGGGGTGGTTACGTCACGGCAGAGCGCCGAGAGGGCGCGCGATGGTCGCAGGCAGGTACACGTATACAGGTGGTTTACTAAAATCACACCTTTCTTTGTAACAGGAAAAGAGACGGTTTTGTTCGAAAGGTAATTTGCACAATTTGTTTTCGATAGAAAATTAGATGAACTTTGGCGAAAATTACCTATTTACAGGGCCTTCGCGCACACACGCGCATGAACTTGGGCATCCCTTTTAAACAAATGAAAATGGCTTTGTCGCGATATTGAGAGAACTGTGACCAATCAAAATGCTAGGCAGTAAAAAAAACTAATTAACGCACTACAAACCATGTCAAAATGTGAAAAAGAACAGTGAGAAAAAATTCTGCACGCAGACAAAATGATTCCAACTCAAAAAACAAAATAACAAAAACCGAAACAGGAAAATTCAAAAAGATAAACTAATAAACTCAATAACCAAGTAATTGGGGAAAAGCTATGATTCCGGGACATGCTAAAGTCGATTACATGAACTTTACAAGGCACAAAATCTGCAGATTACCAGCACAAAAAGAACTGTGAGCAACTGGTTCCGCGCAGCTTTACAAACAAAATAGAGTCTGAAACAAAACCAAAAAAACTCACTCACACAAACATACAGGCTGTCAATGACACCTTTTTACCTACAAGTGATATTCCTGTTCTTTAATACTTCTCTGGCATTGTAAAAATTGTAGGGGTTAAAGAGTACCAAAGCGTGACATCACTTTGAACCAGAAAGTGTGGCACAAACATGGTGGTGCACATTGGTTCACGTGTTGGTTTTCGAGCTAATTAGTTTTACACGCTCAACTGACGTATGTATTCACTTTGGTACTCTATACCAGACACTCACAAATCTTAAGAGTGAGGCTTCAACATTCCTGCAGAAAACGCGATATTTCCTATCCATCTGCTCTCCTTGTTCAGATATTTCCAGGTTGATGTGCACTGCCCATTCATAATATAGCAACAAATGGGGAAATCTCTTTCAACATGCAAACTTTAACCAGCACATGGTGGATTCAATAAACTCCCTACAAAAGTGGGAGAAAACGATTTGCAATTTGAAAACAATCTTGTAAGCAGCCAACTTTGCTTAACAGGAAAAAAAAAATTTGACTGTTTCAGCAACCTGTGCATTTACATCCTCCCTCACCTGAAAGAACTTGTAACAAAATCATTCAAATCATTGCAAAGATTTCTTATCACTTTCATACTATGTCATCTCACTGGTTACATAATTTGTGGCCTTGGTTCATAAAGTGAAACTGATGTCATGAGAAATTTGCTGCAGAATGCACTTGTTACGTGAATTCAAAGAATATTTTATTTGACATCACAAATGCGTTGCGATCTGCAAAAACCCTTCACATGGTGAACTTTGTCATTTTGGTGCATATCAACTTCAAATTGATCTGGACACTGCCCTGTTTTCAAAACTGTTCAATTTGTGACTCTAGGTAACCTAGATTCAGGTTGCAGACAATATCGAATCATAAATGGAATATATCTGAAAAACAGAGCGTGTCCATATTAACTTGAAGTTTATAGGCACCCAAATGACAACGCTCACCAAGTGAAGGGTTTTTGCAGATCGCATCACAAATTTGCGTTCATGTTCACTTTTGCGCCTAGTATGAACCAACATTTAAACAAAGGTAACACTGAAAAGGTTAAAATTACGCGGTGTTGCAGGTTATCAACTGCCAGCAAATGCCATACCATGCCAACATACAGGAATACAGTGGTAAAAGAGTAACTTTCCCAGCCCAAATTTAAATTTGATTAATATGTTGACTTTCTTAGAATAGTGTTTATAAAAAGTCAAATGTATAATCCAAAGAAAGCAAATAAACTTTCATATACAAAGGCAAATAAACAATAACGCAGCACAGCAATATATTTTGTAATTTACATCAGAAGATCTTAAAATGGAGATCAGTACATTAATTAAAACAAAAAAGCCAAATAATGCCCTCGTTGATACCAATCACGTCAGCAAAACAAACTGGCTAAAATATGTCTCTGTGTCCTCCCTCTATGAGCTGAGACAGCTGCAGAAGGGATCCAGAGCAGACATGTTTCCAACACAGTTGGAGTGAACATGTGGTTCTCTTGACATCACTAATGGGATTGCCTGTTGCTATCTCTGAAACATTTTGAGAGTAGAATTCCGTGATCCGTACAGCCAAAAATGAATGTCTTAACACGTCGACTAATGCACATAATTTCACGGGCGCTCCCATTTGCCAGGCATTGTATGCATGCGCGCATATTTAATAGGTACTTTTCAGGTGTGTTTCAACATGAGCATTTTACAGATGTCCCCAACACTGCCAGCAGCATATTTGTTGTGTTTTCTGTATTCAATTTACAATACAAAAGCCTTTCATATCCTACAAGTATACTCACAGTGGCAGAGTGCAGTACACTTGCCACAAGTGTTGCTCGTAGTCGGCAGTCAACGTGTTAAACTATGATTGCACGGACCTTTACTTTGATCAGCTTTGAATCAAAAAACTTGGTTTGCATTTGAATAAATGCCCTATGACAGTATTAGCCTTTAATTTCATTTAGCTCAATCGGGTACATGTGCATCATGTAAGATGGAGAAGGATTGTCTTTATTATCCGAAATATGTGAACCTGACTTTCAAGCATGGTATTGCTAGTTAATGGCACAGTCCCTTGGCACATTACTTTCTAGGAAATTCTGAATCAAAATATTCTTGGTGGAAAATCTCAGGCTTCCCAACCCAAAGGATTTTGGCCCCAATTCTTCATAGAGGTTGTGGAAACAGCTGAGGAGTACAAGTTCAGGGGAATCCACAATATGGCGACAAATAAAAGAAATACATATAAAATAACCTAAATATGCTTGGGAAAAAAATGAAGAGAAAAAAAATCCCAAGAAACTTTTAACAAGCATCTATGAACATAAAATAACAATACATACATGTAGTTTGAAACAAAAGTATCTTTAAAGCACACATTTGATCTGTTTTCAAATAACAAATAAATGAATTATTGTTAAAAACATTCAAAAAAAGGGAAAGAAAAGAAAAAAAAGGAAAAGTTGGATAATAAAGGTTGATATTCTAAGTGACAAGAAACAGTTTTGAGTAAACAGTGAAATAAGGCTGAGTTTCACAACAAAGTAGAATGTGATTCTCCACACTCCAATGCTCCTAACACAGCTATGGCACTGAATGGTTTCATATTCACAGAGTGTGACACATTCCCAATATGAAAGCACATATAATATTCTCAAAGAGGCACAACATCAATTTTTTTTAATTCATAGGAAGGAACGCATTTTCTGGCTTTGGTAATAAATGTACCAGTAAATAAAGTGTCACATTTTCAAACGTATACAATGTTAATATATAGGACGATAATACCGAGCATTTTATGCTGACATTTAACTTTAATATGTTAATCACAAGCACAGGTCAAGGCAAAGATTTGACATGAGCGGTGTCAGGGATTACACACACAACCCAATTTTTTTTTTCAGCGTCAAATATAAAGAACTGAGGGGGGTAACTGACCAAAAAAAGTCACACAAATAATAAAACTCAAAGATGTAAGCTTAAACTTCTTCTAATTCTTTTCATGCTGTGAAATGTCCCGACTCTGCTAAAATCATTACCAGTTTTAATGTAAAGTGATCACACCGTCTCTGCACTTAAGTTTTGAGGAATATCAAAGCTCTGTGCAATTCACACCTGGAAACAACGAATGCCAGAAACTGGAACACCCATTTTACAAACCTATAGTGAGTACAAGCAGCCGTGCCAGAGAAGCTATTCACATACATATATGTTCAAATGTCCACATATGTAACAACTGCAATTTTTTTGAAATAGCAAATAATGGCCTCTTCTGGGCAAATCAGTGCCCTCTTTTGCCAGGACTAAGGACTTATTCCCCGTTATGAAAATCAGAATGCTTCAGATTTTTTGCAGTCTGATTAAATTTGAACAATTGACAGGTCCTTAACCACTTGCCGGTACCAGAAATGTATTCTTTATATGCATGGCCGGGGTATCCCCAAAATCAGACAAAGGGAACTGGGCCTTGTAACAAAAGACTGTACTCGTAACAAAAGACTAGGCTGCTGGGAATTACCAACATTTCTTCATTCTCAATAGTGGAGATAATCCAGCCGTGTTTTGAAACAGTATACCACAGTTTTGGGGATTTAGCGCGAGCAGATTACCACCGGGGACAAAAGTACTCCACCACTGCAGTGATGAGCCACGCTGCACACTGATCTGGCCACTATTGAAAAGAGGTCAGCAGCGCACTGTGCCAGTTTCATGAACAAAAGAAAATTACCTGACACCGCAAAATCTGGGCTCTTTTTGCAAGGCGGCAGGCCTGGCTGATATACTACAGTGTCAATAGATGTTGTCTGTCAGATTAAAGTAGAAACCAGACAGTCCTTCGTGTGGGTTTAAGTGTCCAGTAAATAAAGAAAAGAATTTTCAAAGAATTTTGAAAACAGAAAAAAATGATAATTATCCCGTCCAAATATCATCAACGTTGGTAACTACCACTGGCGTTAAGTGGTTAATCTTTCAAAATCTGGAACAGCCTCCTGATGGATTTGGAAAGTCTGGGTGAAGCAGGGTTAAAAACAAGGTCGTGCCGCTTTATAGAACAGTGCAGTACTCCATACTTGTGTGGTGGACACGCTGTTACAGTTTGTAGCTTTGTACAGAATTTCTAATGCTATAAGTGATGTTCAGGCCTTTCTTAAAGACTCGGTTGATTTACATACACTCAATCACACATTAAATGTTAGAATGATAGAATGCTCATCTACATTATGTCCGTGTAGCACACCAGTGTGTTTCTTACTGTTGATATTTTAAACATTGCCATTTCTTGTATCATTATCTGCTGAACATTTCAAGTCCAAATCTGAATAAAAGGATGAGTACAAAAAAATTGCAGAACGAAAATCTCTATCTCAAGAAACAACAAAGGCTTTGCAAAACGTGCATATGTGAAATGAAAAAAAAGGTGTCCAATACTGAAAGAGTCCATGTTGACTGAAACAACCACTTGTCAAATGCCAAAGGCAATTCCATTTTTTTTGGTCACATTAAAGACTGCCAACATGAAATTCAACAAGAATAGATTATTCTCAAGTACTTTTTATGAGAACGGAGCAAACTGTGTTTACTCACACAAAAGTTTCCCACCGAGTGAATACCAGTGTAAAAGTGCATCTGGAGACATACAAGAGGCCATTGAATTTCTGCATCAATTTCACAAGTGAACAAAGGGTACTCTTGTTTAAGCCCCTTCCTTCAAGAGTAGAACTGAAAAGGAAAACCATGCATGGCTGCCTTACGACCGACCCCCAATGGTTTGCACGCTTGTGAAATGATAGGAAAAATATGAAAGTGGGCAGCCCCTTAGTAAGGGATGAGTTGCTTTTCAAAAGCAATTTCCCTATTCTCAAAATTCAAATCCAAGTGTATCCTTTCAGAATGTCATCTTTGCCATTTGTCAGTCTCGATGTACAACTCAACACCACCAATGGATTCTCATAGGTTTTGTTGGCGTCAGGTGTCCCAACACCTATCTTGGCACACCAACACATTTTCGTTTTAGAGAAATTACCTTTCACATTTGGCAATGAATTTCATGACCCCCAACTCGTAATTCTACCTTAACCAAAACAAGGATATGGGTGTTGATCAAAGTGGGTCAGGGAGGACATATGCCGGGTTATGCCCCCATTTTTGAGGGATACAGGGGTGAGATTGACCAATGGTAAAAATAGCTGAAAACAGCTGAAAAAGGCATAAAGACACTGAATTGTGAAAATCCCCTATACTTTTGTACACAGCCAGGGCGGAAAAAAAAGCTGAACTCCAAAACAGAAAAAGCTGAGAAATCCCACCCCTGGGGATATCACTTTGTTAGCCCCCTCACTTTTTTTGTAGCCAAAGAAAAATTGTAGGCTTACATTTTGTTGTACAGTACCTAACAGCTAAATACTTTGAAAACCATTTTCAAAAATGATAAAAAAGAAATGGATAAGGAGAGATTGAGTAATCTGTGAAAACCTGAGAAAATAGGGTTAATCTGAGAAATGGTCTCATATCGCACAATGCCCCCCCTCCATTCTTTAAGAAGTGATTGACGCCCTTGTGCATGGATGCTTGCAAGCTTATGTGAGTGGAGGTACGTGCATGCAGCACTGATGACGTTCACTCTTTGGGTACCAGTTGGTTGCTCTCAGGTTGAAGCCACAAGTCCACAATGCTGTCAATTAGGCTCTGGAGTTCAGCCTTGGCTGCCTCTGGGTCACTGAAGAGAATAAAGGACCGAAAACCATCACCAGACTAGCCCTGCGGGCTTCAGTAGTACACAGACCACAGAGTGCTCTGACAAGGATTCTTGGACTACATTTCATGGAGCTCCTAGGCAGAAATTTTGCTTGTTAACTTTGTGTGCTTAGCAAAAACCAGCTGCGAACAGCTGTAAGAAGTGTACAGCATCTGACATTTTGGCTTGGTAACCTCTTTCTGTTGAGTATGTGTCTTTTGGGCTAAGCCAATTTTTGTGCATAGGCGTCCATCAAATTACAGATGGTTAAGGGCACTGGGTCCATTATGCTAATCCCTTCGCAGCCTGATTACTGAAGCATGACATCCCCCCTGAACTGATGATTAAACACACTTTGAACACTGGCCATTCTCAAAGGATTATTTGGCCAGGTGGGCTTAATTAACTGTGGAGGACAAAGAAGGGGATCAGCTTGTCCTGAATGGCTTTTGATTATGCTCAGCCAGAGTGTGATACAGAGACCCAGTGGAGTTAATCCAGGCCAGCTAGGTTCAATCTAAAGTCCCAATCCCTTTTCAAGATAACCTGGCGGGCTCTCCCCAGAAGGGATGCTGATTTGATGACACGCCTTAGTAGGCTTATAAAACTTCGCCTTTTGCAGAAACACAACCTCACTGGTGAGATGGAATTTAGATACCCTGCACGATAAGCAGTAAAGGGGACCCTCCCAATGTGATGCACAAGCTTTATACCCTACGGCTATTGTGCCTACTGCACCCCCCCCTTGGAAATCTGAAAGGAACTCTAAAGATTCCATCAGTACAAAAGATGACACAATAGGAAAGGGTCCTTTACTGTATATCTTGCATCATATGGGGAGGTTAAGGCTACTTGAGTATCATTGCTGACATGTGGCCACGCTCAAATGTTACTTTTTCAGAGATGAAACATAACTTTGTGCATATTCATGTGAAAATTGGTTGTAAGTGGGCCACAACACCCCATCTACTCTTCCTACAAAGGGGTCCCATTCAATCTCTTCTGCGACACACTGAAGTCTTTGCTCCATACAAAGCACAGCTTCCCCAGGAACAAGACCATGTTCTCACTGTGAGTAAAACTAAACTCACCTGGATGGATCAGCGAAAATCTCTGTGTAGTATTTGATCTTTGGCTCTGTGCCACTGGCTCTTAGGGTGGCTACGCAACCGTTGGCAAAGTTAAATGTGATCATTTGGCTTGTGGAACTTACTGGCAAGATCTATAAAGTAACAAAAAACATGTCAATGGTGGACATAACCATCATGTATTCAAGGGTTACCGTTACCAATCAGCAAAGTCAGTAGTGCATGCCCACACTTGCACTGTTGCATTCTAACAGTGTATGCCCACAATGAAGTTGACCCTGAATGACTTTGCCTTCTTGAAATACTAAACTGAAAGGCAAATGTACTCGTTTTTATTTTCTAACTTCTCAACAAAAATTGCGGAAAGTTTCATTTTGTAACTAAGAGGTACAACGTCAATTTAATGTTTGCTACGAGTTCTCATCCCATAATTTGGAACCTATTCCAGGCATGAACAGTTGGGAATTGGCTACCCGGTTCCCATGCACAGTGCCAACAGCGACTGATTTGAACTTACTGCTTTGTTATCAGGTTGATTATTGTCATATCCCGTTGTGAGATCTCTAATACCGGTTATCTTGTAGGGACCACAGGCAGTTGGGTACTGTAACATAACCATCAATGAAACAACAAACTTCACAGAAAGTTCTGAGCAGGAGAGTGAGATGAATACACCTGTGTTGCAAGATCTGATGATTCTTTTACCACCAGTTTGCTATGACTACACTTCAAGTATGAGCATTTTCTTTGCATGGTACAAAATGTGCAACCGTGGACGTGTGCAAATTTGTTAATCCTTTTTTGTCCATGACATAACAACTTGGAGTCAACAGTCTGTTGTGTTACACACTTTATTACAGATCACTGCGAAGGCACAGTTTTCCGACGTTTTGATGCCCTCGGGTACAAAGCTTGGAGACGAAAATCCTAGCTCATAAGCGTGCCAAGAATTGTGGTACTAATGCACATCAATTTAGATCACAGACATCACTATAATTAGCCCATTAAACCTACTTTTCCATCATTAAGTGTCCGAATCCTCTCAAATATGTTCCTCATGGTTTCAGGTTTAAAGCACAAGTAGTAGGAGTTATTGGAACAGTGCAAACCATATCTGGGGGAAAAGTGACACGAGAAGGAATTAAGTGAGTGGAGTTGAGGGAGCAGTGTAAAAAAGTTGAACTGTAAAAAAGTGGTATAACAGTGTTTCCCACTGAGTTAAATTACATAATGAATTAAAGAGTGGTGGTCATAGCATATATGGATCAAAGTAATTTGGATCAAAGTAATTGAAGGAAGGCCAGATGAACTGATGTCATGGCTTCGGTGATACCTGCATTGTTAGTTTAACTCCTTTGTTGTCCCTCTTTAAACAAAACACAAAACAAACAAACAAACAACAAACAAAATAACAAATAAAAATCTACAGCAGTCTCTTCAAAGTTTGAAGTGACAGTTGACCGAGATGATTACGAATCTAAAAAACTACAAACAGGGAGGGAAATAACAATATTAGCCACCTCATACCCCTAAAACACATCTGCACTAGTAACCAGGAGGCTGTGCTCGAGTCTCACCCATGTAAGATTGTGAATTTTTACACAAGCCTTTGTACGATACATATGTTGGCAAAGGGCAAAAACACCCTATACACAATTGCCGAGGAATGAATTGTATTGTTAAGAAATGTGTTCTTACGTTTGGTAGATTTCCTGGAGTTTCTCGGTGAAAGTTATGTTTGAGGATGCCAGATAGGCAGCCAGCTGGCCCATCAGGGCTGCAGCACTCACCCCATCCTTGTCGATTACCTCTGTGCCACACATGAAACCTGCCACGATAAACCAAAAAGAAAAGAAAAGGAAAAAAAAAAACGGACACTGTTAAAATATTAAATATTTCGCTTCATCACAGCCTTCAGAGTGATTAACTTGACCAGTCCAAGATCATTCAAACTCTAAGGGGATTTTGCCGGGTTGAGGAAAGTAGAACTTGGTAACTACAACTTAAGATGGGCAGCACAATTGCTGAATCTTCTACATTGTGCCTTTACGGACAGTTCAGAAATGATCCTAACAAACATTTTTAGTAAGAGATTAAATAAAGATAGAATTTCCCATCTTGTCAACATGCCAACTTTAAAAACATGAAATCACCATTTGTAAAAACACAGCAAAATCTCAATACAAACATTAAATCCAAGCAAATTTTTGTAATTTCACAACAGTTGCATGGCCTCCAGAGTCCTCAGACGAACAGAAAATTCCATCCAGAAAAGTTTGTAGACATTGCACGTAGTGCTTTCTTAGGCAAAAGATGCTCTGTAAATATAGCCCTTGGAATCAAGTGCCTCTACAGCTGGAGTGTCACTCTACTCACTGAGATGAGAGTCTTGAGGAATCAAAACAACACTCTCACTATCACAAGGGCTACTGAGACGGTTAATCAATAAAAGCTTCAAAAACTTTCTAAGTTTAAAACTTTTTTCGTATACTTGTTGTACAAACATAATTAAAAGTAACATCTAGTTCAGCAGGTGTGCTATTGGCAAGTAAGGCAAAACAAGCAGAATAAGAATTTGCACAGTATCTTTTAATCTGAATAAGGTGATACTGGGGCTAAAAACAAACCCTGAATTATTAAAAAATTAAATGCTGTGACTTACAAGGGTTTTAAATAGCTGAAACGGCACGAATTCTCTCCCCAATGGCTGTAACAATGCCAATCTTGAGGTAAGGTTTTTGTCAAAAGAGCAAAATAGTATCAAAATCTGAATGATTATACTAGTGTCATTCAAGAATTTTGGGGTCTTAAATCCTAAATTCCGGAAAACTCCTGGGAAATCACATCTGCAGAAAAGTTTCATGCCTGATGATAACCAAGCCTGACATGTACATGTATCATCCCTGTATTTGTACACAGCCATGAATTCCACAGAGCTGGAGCAAAAAAACATGATTTAAAAAATCTGAAGTGGAATATATGTGGAGGATATACAATTACCAATGGCTTCTTCGTATGCAAACAGCACCATCTTTCCTTGCTTTGTCAGCTCATCGGCTCTGTTTCCCATCCACTTGAACCCTGTCAGCGTTTCCTGAAGATCAAACCACAGAGGTTATTAACATTACAAGTGCCTCTCAAAAATATGTCAGTTGATAAAGAACTTCACTGGAAGATAGGATTCTACAAAAAAAACAAAACACATATTGATTTCATCATGCAAATGACTTCTGGTGTAAAATGTGGGTAGTAATTCAAGAGGAGATGATTAAAAATTTACTTCCAAGCCATTTTACATTGCTCAAGAGAAAAGGCTGATATTATTTCCCTAACCACGAGACTTTTGATTACTATGAAAGGGAGAACAGATGGCATTTTGAATAAGATTTCCAAGCACCTCACAAGACTTGTCTCCTCCTACTGTTGTCAATTCGTGCATCATGAAAAATCTTCTGACATTTTTAACATGATCCCACTTGAGAATGTTAACAATCGTAGGAATCTCAACTGCTTCCCGGGGATACTGCCTAGATGAGCTATCTCAGTATCCATTTCATGCTCGGGATCAAAATAAGATTGAATTTCCTTTGTCACCAGGTGTCAGGATCCATCACAACTTTCCATGGACTGAAATCAACACTCGGCCAACAACTCAAAGCTGATCAATAGATAGGGGTAATCTCTTCTATACATAGGATTTGGACGACCGCAGCATGAAATGCTAATTATGTACATTTAAATCTACTGGCTGACTGGTGCAAAAATCTACCAAACGACACTAATGGTGATACCCTCTGGTATTCCTGATAAGAAATGGAAAGTTGATCTGGCAAAAGTGGTATTGTGAAGAGTAACTCCAAACTTCCTGGAGAGCTGTTTGGATCGATGCAAACTTGAGTCTTGGTTTTACTTTTTTGCTACATCTGCTAAAGTCCAAACTAAACATAACAATTACGCTGGCTTCAAGCAATGTAGCAAGGTATGATGTATTCTTATAGATCTTTAGCTGATTCTAAGTCTTGTTTCCATATCGACGTAAAAACTGCAGAGAGCAATGCAATAGAGATGCAAACTGCAATGCGGACAAATGGAAACACGCCAAACGGCAGAGTCACCGACAACACAAGCCAACCTCAAATGGATCGGCTAAGTTGAGCCCAGTTCAGCTTTGCCGACTGTCTGCGTCAAGTCGCTGAGTACGCCTATACAAACATTCATGCTGGCATAACTGGCGTACAACAATGTTTCTCTCACTTAGTACTACTCATTTTGTCCATTTGCTCCTTATTCTAGTAATTAGGAGAAAATGCAACCCTACTCATCAACAAACTAGCTGACCATTCACAAATTACACCAAACTTGAGAATTAGTTCGGCTTCAAGAGGCGACATTTCCACCTAAAAAGGAATTTTTCCCAAATATTTTCCAAGTTTCGGATGCCATTTTGTTAAATTTTTTGGTGGAATGACGTCGCACAGCATCTCTTCCGCGACTGTCTGCGTCTTGACGTCTAGCGGACCATCTGCGTTACAAACGACTACATGGAAACCAGGCTTAAGTCTTGTGTGACTGCGACACAGCCAAGTGGATTCACACGTACTGGCACCACAGGTGTGGCTACACCTGTGCTGAACAATAGTAATTGACAGGGACAAATTTGATTTGGGGCAAATTATCATCTCCACAACCCATTCCCAAATTTCCTACAAAGATAATGTCCAAATCTCGATGTATGGCTGGCCAGGGCAAGTACACAGAAATTGGCATCAAGTACAAAGTGACATGGGTGCCCTGCATTGTGGCAAATCCCCATTCAATGTGACATATCCCACATCCTCCAAAATCTGACCACCTCAGGTGTAGGATTATGGTGGATTAAAGGGGGTCTAAGCCCCCAGTTCTTACGTACCACAAACTGGAAGCCTTCTTTGGTGCCAATTGACTTCAGAATCTTGGAGGATACTGTACTGGCAAGCATGTAAACATCTGGATCTAGTGGGTGCAATATTACATTTGATCAACTTATTAGTGAATCCAACATGAGGGTATTCCTTTTAGTCTTTGTTTTAAGAAAAAGCCACTTTTCAATGTAACAGTTGACAACTTAAACAATGGGTATTCAAAAAGACACAAGTGTGAAAAATGAGTATCACTGTCTGTTGTATTTATGTCAAGCTTTTCTGACAGAGCTTTCCAAAAATGGCCTCTTGGTGATGTTGTGTACTGTAATTTGGTCAAGGACCCAATGTTATGGATAGCTTAAGCACAAATTATTGCTCAAAAATTTACATGCTTAAGAAAAATGAGAACAGAACTGATCGAAAGCAGTATATATGACATGAGTTTTTGACTGGTAACCTGTTTCTGCTAAGCAAATAGATTTGGAACTTTGCAAATATCTGCACTAAGCAGCTTTACGAACTTTGGTCACTCAAGGGGAATACGAACGTGTTCCGTTATTCTGTGCCTCCGGATGCAACTTCTGGTAACAGACCCACATCCACCAGCCGAGCAGGGCTCCCAACTCATTGCCTGTGAAGATCTTCCAGCTGCCGTTGGACTGCTTCTCAGCCAGGGCAAACCGGTCCGCATCCGGGTCATTGGCAAAGATGATGCTGCTGTTGTTCTCATTGGCGGTGCGAATGGACAGGTCCAGGGCGCTCTTGCCTTCCTCAGGATTGGGGTACTTGACGGTTGGGAAATCTGGATCAGGACTGTTCTGTGTGAGGAAAAACAATGGAAGACGGGCAGCACTGTTTAAACGTGGGCCTTTTGGCACCCCTTTTACAAATCCTCTGCAACTTTTCAGGCAATTTGGGAGTGATTTTTAACACAGTTGTGAGAGCTTGAGTGCTTGGATACTGGACAATCTTTAACCATTGAGGAAAAGAAAAGCTGACAAGGTTTTTTCAAGTGACTTTTATATGTCTAGATGTACTTTGCATACTTTATAAACACTGTATACTCAGTGCTTATAAATATATACGCCAGGGAAGGGCCAAACCTGTAGTTAAAATTTTCGTCTGATGTTCTCCTCCAGCTTTTTACCTGTTCAACAACATCAATGACTGGAGGTAGGCCGACTGCCTCAAACGCTTTCTTGACAAAGTCTGTGCCCACACCGTGCATGGCAGTGTAGGTGATTCTCCAAGGACATTTCACATTCAGGTCTCTGCATCAGGGGAAAAAAAAAAATCAGAACTCAACCATGATGCCGCAAATGATCCATTTCAGAATTTCCACTCGTGTTGACAGACAGAGTAATTACCTCCGTCCAATCTTAAAAGCCTGGAACAGATGATGTAAGAGTAGTCACAATGGAATTTAATAAGAGCATGCTGGCTTGTGAAAGTTGCCATGTCTAACTTCCCAAGTCTAGATGGATTTCTGGTATATTTTGTGCACTTTTTGTTATGTAAATTTTAATCTTTTGAGATTTAGGCACTGTATAGTTTCAAAGAGTCATCAATGAATAAAATTAATACAATGTTAATGTATTATACAAGAGCATAGGTCACACTGTCACGATTTTGGTCCCAACAACGCCTGATTAACTGCGGGTATGTTTATTGCAATGACTGGAGAATATAGGGCTCAATTGTACGGATACTGACGGTTATTATATGGTGAAGCTATGAACATTAAGGACATTTGTACCAATTTGAAGCAAATTCATCATGTTTGAGTTATGATGTAGCAAGAGCTCAATAGTTCTAATCCACTGGAGTCAGGAATACATGACGATAATAGACAATTGCAGACAATTATCCCCATTTTTGCATTTGTAGAAAGATTAATCCAAACAGTCCTCAATCCTTCACCTGTTGGAGGACTGAGGACTGTTAGGGTTGATAAAGATTTATCACTTGCATTACACACGTACATATATAGGTATTGAAACATCTCAAAATGTACTACATGCTTATAAATTTGTACTGAACCTCCACTTAAAACATCCATGATTAACCAAGGAGGGCTATGAATGTATCTCAGATGGCCAAAAGAATATGCCCAATAGACCTACAACATAATGACATAATGCAGTGTTAACCGCGGTGCATTGTGGGTGAAAGGTGGGGATGTTGCAGAAATGCGTCGACGTGAACAAAATGTTGTGTAACGTACACTATATGGCGTGTGTATTGACCTGACTAGAAAAAAAATCCAAAGATTTCCGATTCGCCGAAATGGTCCAGGTGAACTGTGGTGTTCCACTGTATTTATCAAGCACTCAATGAATGCCAGAGCTGCATTTTTAAAACTTCCACGGGACTGCAAAAGGCGATAGATTTCTGTGAGAAATAAGGCCATCAAAGCGAAGTCCAAGTGGACCTCTGTATGGAGACTACATTTTGTAGGCAGAGACAAGACTTGCGCATACGATGTATCGGATCCAACAATTTTCCCGTGGACAAGTGAGTGGGAGGAGGTTGTTTCCCGGCAAAATGAACACTGAACAAGCTGCCTTTCTCTTCAGACATGATTTGGGAACTTCATACATGAAACTCTTTCTCATGATTGTGCTGGTACAACAGAGGAGAACTATAACTTCTTACGGAAGAACCAGGACCATCTGTTCGTAAATTGTACACATCGTCATGATACAAGATGAGTCATGACTACAATGGGAGCTTGGCTTTTTAAGACTTGACTGAATGACAAGCCTGGGGGAAGTAACCTGAATGAACAACCAAAGGTAACTGAAGACGAAGTAACATGAATGAACAACCAAAGGTAACTGAAGATGAAGTAAC